TTCCCTGTGCCTCACAGGTGTGTCTGATTACCTATGCCTGACAGGTGTGTCTGATTACCTGCACCCACAGGTGTATCTGATTACCTGTGCCTCACAGGTGTGTCTGATTACCTGTGCCTCACAGGTGTGTCTGACTACCTGTACCTCACCGGTGTGTCTGTACCTGTGCCTCACAGGTGTGTGATTACCTGTGCTTCACAGGTGTGTCTGTACCTTTATCTCACAGGTGTGTCTGATTAGCTGTGCCTCACAGGTGTGTCTGATTACCTATGCCTCACAGGTATGTCTGATTACCTGCGCCCCACAGGTGTGTCTGATTTCCTGCACCTCACAGGTTTGGTATTGTTTCCACACTGAATGTCTACGTCAGGTGAACCCAGCACCCTGTGCTCATGCCGCATCCCTGTGGTCCATGGTGGTCATTCTTATAACATGTCAAAAGTTTTCAGCCTGCAACCCACAGCCGCTCCTCAGAAACCCTACACAGGGTCGCTATGAGTCGGAACTCTCTCAATGACACCTAACAACTTAACAGCAACTGTACACTTTGTAATATTCTACTGTGTCCTGGGGTGGCAGTGTAGGATAAGCACAGGACTGCTAACAGAAGGTTGGAGGTTCAAACCCACCAGCTGCTCCTCAGAAACCCTATACAGGACCGCTGTGAGTTGAAACCGACTCGATGGCACTTAACGACATCAACAATGTGTATGTATGTCTGTGTAATACATCCATATCATCTAAATCTATATCTGGTGTGGTGCTGTGGGATCCACACTGGACTGCTAACCAAAAGGTTAGAGGTTCAAACCCAAGAGCCGTACCTTATAAAACCCTGTACAGGGTCACTATGAATCGGAACTCACTCAACAACAACATTCCACTGTATGGATGGACCACATTGCATTTCTTGGCCCATCCTGACAGATGGACAATTGGGTTGTGCATAGAAAACTTAGGGTCACACTATGATTGCGGTGGTTGTTTAGTGCCATCAAGTTGTATAGGGTTCCCGACAAGAGGCTGGTGGATTTGAACCACCGACCTTGCAGTTCAAACAGACCTTCTGGTCCAGCTCTTATCTTCCAGTGCCTCACACTATGTGGTAGCTTGTCAAGTGTGCATAAAGCCAAAACATTAAAAATAACATTAAAATAACATGAAAAGTAACAAGCCTGCTCTCGTCAAGTCCACTCTGACACGTGATCCTGTAGGGCACAGTGAAACTGCCCCGTAGGATTTCCGAGGCTGTAATCTCAACCAGAGCAGAAACTTTACCGTTCTCCCTTCAAGCGTCTGGTGGGCTTGAGCCAACGACATTGCAGTTTAATAGCCAAGCACTTAACAAGCATGCCACCGGAGCTTCCTAACAATACATGGAAATCGAAGCCTAAAGTCATTTCTGTGCCGATGGTTCCAACTCCTAGCGGCCCTCCCTATAGGGCAGAGTGGAGCTACCTCACAGTGTTTCTAAGGCTGTAAATCTTTGTTGGAGCAGGCAGCCTCGTATTTCTCCCTCAAAGCGGCTGGTGGGTTTGAACTGAGAATCAGAAAATGTACTTTACAGACTTCCTTGGCAGTCCCCATCGTCGATTCCAAAATCAGATTTGCTTTGAGTCAAAACTGAGAGTATACAACCGAGCTCCCCGCCGCCCCCTTTGTGTGTGTGAATTGGGTGAAGGTTTATAAAGCAGATCGGTGTTCCGTCCAACAATCCTGACACATTTTGTTTGATCTCATTGATTGAATCTCCTTATTGCAACATCACTCATTCCATTTCCTCTCTGTTCCCTGTTTCCATTCCTCAGACTTTCCTTACGCTGCTGAACTTTGTCCTTGAGCTAGCTAGCACTGCTGTCTTCATCATCTCCAATGACTGATGGTTCTAAGGTGTGCGTACCTCCTTCATGTTACTGTTCCCATTGGTTGTTGTGAAGCGCCTTCCAGTCGGTTCCCACTCATAGCGACCCTGTGTAGCGTTTCCAAGAAGCGGCTAGTGGGTTTGAACCACTGACTTCGTGCTTTGCAGTCTACAGTGTTGATCTACAGTGCAACACCAAGACACGCCCATTATAGACTTGAGTGTTCTTTCAATATTCAGGCACGAGGAAGAGTTCCTTTCCAGATCTGAAGTCTTGGGGTTCCACCAGTCTCTATCCTACCAGTGAGTGTTTTATTTATTAAAATGATTTTGACTTTTGTTTCACGTTTTCTTCCTGCTGTATCCAGGAACTTCTAATGTGAGCGCATTTACAGAAGCTGAAACTGGTAGCTGGGTATCATGTAGCAAATAAAACTTTGACTACCTTAGCACTTCCTGCTAGTTGGAATTCTGAATTCTGTACAAATCAGTGCTGTTTTAAATGAAGCTGTGAGTAGTTCTATCCTAACACCCTTGGCCCTGGTATTATGGATAAAACTGTGTCTCCCCCCAAAAAAGATGTGGTCCGTTCCTCACTGAACCCTGTGCCCGTGAGTGTGAACTTGTTTGGAAACAGGCGTTTTGCAGATGCCATTGGCTAAATTGACCAGGTCATGCTGGTAGGGAGGTGCTAATCCTTTATCAACAAATCCTTATAAAACAGACAAGAGAGGGAGACACAGTAAGGAAGGGTATTTTACAACATTCCTCACAGCAGTGCACAGAGCTGGAATGATTTCAGCACCAGGCTGGGCCCTATTAATTGGAGGTTCAAGACAATCCCAACCTTTCGAGTTTTCCAACACGTTATACCTCTCCACAGTCCTTGGTACCCATCACCTGCCCTCAAGTTCCAGGTTCTGCGGCTGGCCACAACAGCTCCTGAGATTCACAGTTGTCAAGAGAGATGAAAAGCCCCAAATCCGTACTTTGGAGACCAAGCTAGAGGAATCTTCTGATGCACGTAGTCTCAGGAGGTGAGGAACCCCAAACCGGCAGGTCCCATGACAGGCTGTGGATGCATGAGGCTGTGGGGTCTGGTGAATCAGGTCAGGTGATGGACCGAAAGTCCTACCAACTGGAGGTCAGATGAAATGAGTCTGACACAACATTCGGGCCAAGGGAGAGGGCTTCTCCAAAGGCAGTCTTATAAACTGGAGTCAGACCAGGCACCCCGAGGGAAACGAAGGG